CACTGTCTTTCTTGCTGTCATTTGTATGAATTAATGATGCTGGACATTATTTATTTCTTGTCCACTGAAGAGCTGGCCAGTGCTACTCTGGGATATATGGTTGGCATTGACATGCTTATGAGACGTCTTCTTCCTTTAGCATTCCCTGGCTAGGTTTTCATCTGACTGCCCTTCTTTAAAAATGATCCTTCCACTACACACTCTTATTTGCTACTCTCCTCCCCGACCCCTCTCCTCAACAGGCCTCAAGTGACTGGAAGAGATTTTGAAATAGCAGCCCAGCTACCCTGGGGGCTTTCTACCCCTCTCCAAGTTGCAGCCAGCTTTATGATCACCCCAGTCCAGTTTCTTTCCAGATTGACTATTCTTTTCTGGGGGAAGGTGGGTACTAGGGATTGAATTCCGGGGCACTCAGTCACTGAGCCACATCCCCACCCCTATTTTGTATTTTACTTAGAAACAGGGTCTCACTGAGTTGCTCAGCACCTCGCTTTTGCTAATGCTGATTTTGAACTCACAATCCTCCTGCCTCAGTCTCCCAGGCCACCACACACGGCTTAGTAACTGTCTGTGGAAGATCATCTATATAGGAAACTTTTTGAAGGCTGGAGGAAGAAACATTCAAAGAAATTAAGGAGGAAACTCACTCGTGTTATTTTACGCAAGTCCCACATTCTGAATCTCCCCCTTTTGTGTCTCTGGAAAGAAAGGAGAAAGTTTGATGAAACTGCTCCTGGCTGAGGGTACAGCTCCATGGTAGAGCATGTGCGAGGCCCGGGGTCCCATTCTTTCTTAGCACAACAACAACAAAATGTTCTTTTTGCAGTTTCTTCTTATTTACTAAGTATCAGAGCAGTATAACAACTACTGTGAGAACATGTCATTTGGAGAGTTGACGATCCTGAGTTGTGCCATCCTGCAGGAAAGAATGTCCTCTCCCAGGAGACAGTGTCCTCTTGAGGGCAATCCTGTGGGGCTGTCCACTGGGAGGCCTGTCAGGGTGAAGAATAACACAGCAGCTCTTCTAGAGACCTGGCTCTTCTCAGGAGCCCAACCCACTCCAGCAGCATTTCCAAAACCAAGAGACCCATCAAGATACAACATCCAGGAAGACACCTTCAGCTGTCTTCCAAATAGAAATTTAGCACAATGGGGCTGGATCTGGGGCTGGGGCTCAGCAGTAGCGCACTTGCCTGGAATGTGTGAGGCACTAGGTTCAATTCTCAGCACCATGTAAAAATAAAAAAAATAAAGATCTATCAATAAAAGAACGTTTAAAAAAGATTTTTTAAAAAAGGAAATTTAGCATAGAAAGATGAAGGATTGTTCCCCCCATCCCCACTCCTTTTTTTTTTCTTTTCTTTTTTTTTTTTTTTTTTGAACCCAGGAGCACTTTATCACTGAGCCACATCCCCAGACCTTTTTATTTTTTGTTTTGAGATAGGGTCTCACTAAGTTGCTGAGGTTAACCTTGTGATCCTCCTGCCTCAGCCTCCTGAATCACTGGGGTTACAGGCAAGCACCACTGCACCAGGCAAGATTTCCCTTAAAAGACATATTCTAACACCAACCTTTGGGCAACCAGGATTAAAAACTCTGTCATTTTCTTGTCCCTTTCTTTTTGGACTTTACAATTTATTTTTATAATGATTACATATCTCTTGCTCAGCACCAATGATATTATTAACTGGAATCTCCTCTCAACCCAAATATCTACTCTAGGTCAACTGTGGCTTAAAATATTCTAAAAGAAAGACAGGGATGTCCCTTGACCTCTCCAAGATCTGCTTTCTGTTCCTTTGTGGGTAAGTGGGGATGACACCTACCTGTCCGCAGGCACAAAACTCCTAGCTGCTACTTGAAAAGTAACACCCCAGCTGATGTCACCAGCCTGGGGGAGAGTGAGGTTGAGTCCCCAACCCACAGGCAATACCTCTGCCTGGCTTCACACACCCACAGTGGTCTGCCATAGTTTGGGAGGCAGACCTTAAAACACATCTGCCATTTTCACTGACTCTAAAACTGGCCTCTGAGGTCAAACTCCAACTACTGCAGTTTATGCTGCTGTAGCTGCGGTCATACTGTCAAGCATCTTTGGCACAGTTAGGTCCTACTTGACCCTGGCCAGGTATCCTGGGCCTGTAATTCCAGCAATTCTGAGGCTGAGGCAGGATGATCCCCAGTCCAAGCAACAAAGCAAAACCCAACTCAAAAGGAAAAAAAAGAATCCTATTTTTTTTAACATTCATACACACAGACCCACTGAAAGCGCATTATATAAATCCGCACATTTTTCCCCATTTTTGTTGGTTGAACCCAGAGCATTCTACCACTGAGCTATTCCCCCAGCTCTTTTGTTTTATTTCGCTGAGATTACAGATGTTCACCACTGTGCCCTGCAAAAAAAAAAAAAAAAAAATGATTTTAAATTTTTATAAAAGGTCCTTTACACTATTTTTTTTTCTGTGACATCTCAAATGTTACTCGTCACGTTCAAAAAATCTGGCTATCATCACCAATCCAAATTTTTAAATTGAAAACAATAATAGGCAAAACCCTCTTTGCTCTCCCTTGCCCAATGAAATCCAGTGTCTTGCTTTCAAAGTTGGTGGTTTGAAGACAACAGGTTTCTAAAAAGTGAAGGCTAAAGCTTTTTTTGGTTCTTTTTTTGGGGGGAGGGGGTGTTGGAAATTTTTTCCTGTACGTTCGGTGAAATAGTTCACGGAACTATTTCCCATAAATTAGCTTTGGTGCCCCCCTAGGGTAATGCTCAGTGTCAGTAAGCAGTGATGGGTTAATTTTCACTACCTCTTATGCAGTCCAATAGCCGCCTTTCAACCACTTTTTCCTCCTGTAATTCCTCTTCCTCCGGCCCTTTCTGCAGCCGACCTGACCTGAAAGAATCGTAAAGCGGGTGGAAACTCGTTTCAAGGAGCCGCGCATCCTACCTCCACCCAGAACCGCGGCGATCCGGACGCCCTGCCCCCACCCGACCTCTGCCCTCCGCCCTGGTTGGCTTCCGGACGCGGCGATTTCTGAGGCCAGTAGAGGGCATACTTACTTTACTTTCGCAAAGCCCAAGGCGGGTGCAGCCGGGGAGGGGGCGGGGTAACGACGCTTTGCTGCAAAACCGAGCCCAGATCGCTTCCAGCGTTTGCGGCAAAGGCTTGGAGGCTGGAGTAATTTGCAATCCTTAAAGCTGAACTGTGCAGTGAGCTTGGTTTGGGGGAAGTTACTACTCATTTAACAATTGAACGCTGAGCTGCATATTCATCGGGTAATGACACCGTGAACTGGATGCGCGCTACGCAGTCGCCCTTCTCTCCATTTTTTTTTTTTTTTCCTTTTCTAAGGAGGAGTAGGAAGAGTTTACTGAAAAATGTCTTTGGGTGAGGGACCATGGGTAACAGGATTGCCTTTGTTTTTGATGCCATGGAAATAGCAAAACCCGAGGGAATATGCACTATATATTAAATATAGAACCATTTAGGGAGCAAAAAATCATGTTTCAGATAGAGCAATAAACTGGGTCGACGTGTGTATGAAATGTGTATACATATGTGCGGATTTATATAATGCGCTTTCAGTAGGATATTCAGAAAAAAATAGTGAACTAAGAAATGAAAGCTTGAAATACATCCAATTTTTAATTAGCTCAAGATCTCCCCTAAAAAGGCATAAAATAATACTCCTTTCCTCTCACTTGATAGGATCGATGGGGTTTTGTTCGTGATTATGATTCCAAAAATAAAGGGGAAAGAGTACACAGACAGGAATCAAACGTCCAGTTTATCCGGACAGGAAAGAGTTAACGGTTTTCTTCACCAGTCTCGGCCGACTCCCCAGGCCGGGTCCACAAGTGCTTCCCTGCCTCCCCCCCCCCTTCTGGGAAGTCCAGTCGGGAGGTTTGGGTCCCCCCAGTCCCTCCCATATTCTGTCTAGCGCCTTTGATTCCCCCCAAACGGAATCTGGTGCAAAACCGCGCCATGGGGCTCTAGGAGGGTTTGTCTCTGGAACCTGGCTGCGGAATTGGGAACTCCGTGAGAGAGGCGCGGGGATGGGATCCGGCTGTAGACTGGCAAAGAGCTGACGGGGGAGGATCCCCACCCCCCAGGCGCGCGCCCCCAACCGCGCTCCTCCTCTACTCCAGCTGGTGAACACGCAGAAAGATCTCAGCGATTAGTGCGTCTTGCGGGAATAGCCGCTTCCCACACCCGGCCGGGTGGAAGTCTGAGCCGGCTGGGCAAAACGAGCGATATCTGCTGTTTTGGCAGCAAACTAGGGGATTCATTCTGGGTGGGAAGTGCCCAATCTAGATAGCTGTGCATACATAATGCATAATGAATTACACTCACACAACCAAAAGAAATGTAATAGGTATTTATTCATAACACTCTCCAAGTATACGTGGCAAGGCATTGCTGAGTTATTTTATTTTATTTTAATTATTCCAGAAATCATTTTCCTCCCTACCTCCTCTGTCATTTATCCCTAACACTCCCTATACTGAATGCGCACTCATAAATATTCCTTCTGCCCGCCTGTCTTCATAAGACTTATTTTCAAAATGCTGCTCTTTCCCCAGCCTTAGGGAGGCGCCCGGCCGCCCAGGACGTGCGTGGCGCGGCCGTGGGTACATGGTGTATGCTCAGTGTTGAGGGCAGCTGTTCCACCTGTGTTAATTGGAACACGCAAGACGAGAATGCAGTTTGTCAGAATACTGCGCCAGAGGAGCAGCAGAGAAAGGAAAAGGATTTAAACAGGAGCAAAAGAAAATGGTAGGCTCGCGCAGTTAATTCATGCTGCGCCCTTATACTGTTTACATCCGATAGCTGGAGTGCCGGGCTGCGGGGCTGAGTCTCCTCCCCTTCCCTCACTCGGCAGTGCCCCTCCCAGGTTCCCAAAGCCGAGGGCGGGGGAGAACGAAAAAAAAAAGATTCCGTCGAATCCCCGCCCACCAGCCCTTTATAATACGAGGGTCTGCGCGCCCGAGGACCCCTGAGCTGCGCTTCTCGCGGCCGCCAACATCGCCGCTCCCCGGCGGCCGCCTCTTGGCTCCCCTCCTGCCTAGAGAAGGGCAGGGCTTCTTAGAGGCTTGGCGGGAAAAAGAAGCGAGGGGGAGGGATCGCGCGTAACAGCAGTATAAAAGTCGTTTTCGGGGCTTTATCTCACTCGCTGTAGTAATTCCAGCGAGAGACAGAGGGAGTGAGCGGGCGAACCCGTGAGGGTGGAAGAACCGAGCAGAGCCGCGCTCCGGGCGTCCTAGGAAGGGAAACCCGGAGTGAAAGGAGGCTTCGTCTTCTGACTAGCCGCCCCCACCCCAGCCCTCCCGCGGAGCCCCACCAGGGGTCCGCAGCCGGGAAACTTTGCCCTTTGCTGCGGGCGGACACTTTGCACTGGAACTTAAAATACCCGATCGAGGACGCGACTCTCCGGAGCGGGGAGGCTATACTGCCTATTTGGGGACACTTTTCCCCGCCTTTACCCAGGACCCGCTCCTCTGAAAGCGCTCCTGGCTGCCGTTTGAAGGCTGGATTTCCTTCGGGTAGTTGAAAACCCGGTAAGCACCAGATCTATTTGTCTTCTAATTTATTTTCTATACAGCTTTGGGGTTGCGATGAGTACGATTGCCCAAGTCTGGGTGTCTTTTCTCGCATTCCTGTGCTACTGACACTTTTCTTCGAGTAGTTGGGGTAGGTCAGGGTGGGGTGGGGGTTAATGAGGATCGGGGTACAGTGACTTGTCGAGATGTGAAGGGAAAGGAAAAGGGGAAATGGGGTGCATTTTGAAATTATGCTTTGGAGTTTTTTGGGGTTTTTTTTTTTTTTTTTTTTACTATGTATGTTGACGCTAACCCCTGCCGGTTGGATATTCTATTCCTGTCTTATTGCATTAATTGCTGCTTGGGTTTTGCTTTGAGGTTTTTTTTCTTTGGAGAGAGTGCCCGGTTCGCGTTTGGAGTATGTATCATATATTGCGTGTTAAAGAGATAGCTCGGCAACCGCTGACTTTTCCCAGTCTCGGAGAGGACATTTAAATTTCGGCTCACCGCATTTTTGACAGCCGAAGCAGACACTGTGGTGCATTGGGACTGCCCGTGGATCCCCACGGCGATTCCAACTCGCCCCCGCTCTTTTTTAAGAAGTTGGCGTTTGGCTTTGAAAAATAATGATAATTATGAAATTTAAAACCTGACCAAATACCGGTCTCCAGAGGTGTTAGGACTCAGTGTTGGGGAGGCGCAGGGTGGGTCAGGGATGTGCCCAGGTCGTTGGTGGGGGTAGGGGACAACAGGGAGAATTTGCGCACTCAGCCTTGACTCTCCCGCCGCCGTCCGCGGGTATCCCCGCGTCCCTGAGATGCGAAGGGAAGACTACGAGCGGGGCTCTGGGCTGATCCAAGAACAGCTGCTACCCTCGGTGGGGTGGGGTGGGGTAAGACGCTGGCTCCGGGCGCGGAATCGCTGCGGGGTCTCTGGCGCAGTTGCGTCGCCTTACTGAGTGTTGAAGGGAGGTGCCCCTGTTATTATTTAACACCCCCTCTTATTTACGAGAGGGTGGGGAAATGTTGTTAAAGCCCGAGGCTGAGCTCGCTACTCCAGCCGGAGAGAGAAAAGAAAGCCGGCAGAGGAAGGAAGGGGGGCGCGCTGGGGGCGGGTTGGAGGCGGCGGAGAGGGCGGCGGCGCCAGCGGGGTAGGAACGCGGCGAGGCGCGAGTGGGGCCGAGCGGGCGGCGCTGACTGGCCCGGCGCAGGAGGGGGCCGCTCCAGTCAAGGCGCCTCTCGCCTTCTCCTTCAGGTGGCGCAAAACTTTGCGCCTTCGCTTTTGGCAGAATGTATTCCCCACCGCCACCTCCCGCTGCCTCTTTAAGGAGGCCAAGGCCGATTTCGATTCCTTGGGCGGCTGCGGAGCCCATTCCCGGGCTTCGCCCTCCCCTCTTCAATGAGACGGGGACTCGGAGGGCGCTATGCACCGGGGTCGCCGGGGGCGAGTAGAGATAGTGGGGGGTCGCCCGAAGGCAGTAAAAGGTTGTCTGATCCCCTCTGGCCCCTTCTGAGAATAGCGCTCTAGAGGGGAGTGGTTCGGCACCGTGGTGCGTGCTGCGCCGGTTTTCAGCACCAACACCAGCCCCTCGACTCAAGACTGCCCCCCTTTGTGTCCCCCTTTCAACAGGCTGCTGCGACGATGCCCCTCAACGTCAGCTTCGCCAACAGGAACTATGACCTCGACTACGACTCGGTGCAGCCGTATTTCTACTGCGACGAAGAGGAGAACTTCTACCAGCAGCAGCAGCAGAGCGAGCTGCAGCCGCCGGCGCCCAGCGAAGATATCTGGAAGAAATTCGAGCTGCTGCCCACCCCACCCCTGTCCCCCAGCCGCCGCTCCGGGCTCTGCTCGCCTCCGTATGTTACGGTCGCGTCTTTCTCCCCCCCGGGAGACGACGATGGTGGCGGTGGCAGCTTCTCCACAGCCGACCAGCTGGAGATGGTGACCGAGCTGTTGGGAGGAGATATGGTGAACCAGAGCTTCATCTGCGACCCAGACGATGAGACCTTCATTAAAAACATCATCATCCAGGACTGTATGTGGAGCGGCTTCTCAGCTGCTGCCAAGCTCGTCTCGGAGAAGCTGGCCTCCTACCAGGCTGCGCGCAAAGACAGCGGCTGCCCGAGCCCCGCCCGCGGGCACAGCGGCTGCTCCTCCTCCAGCCTCTACCTACAGGACCTGAGCGCCGCCGCGTCCGAGTGCATCGACCCCTCGGTGGTCTTCCCCTACCCGCTCAACGACAGCAGTTCGCCCAAGCCCTGCGCCTCGCCCGACTCCACCGCCTTCTCTCCATCCTCGGACTCTCTGCTCTCCTCCACGGAGTCCTCCCCGCGGGCCAGCCCCGAGCCCCTAGTGCTCCACGAGGAGACACCGCCTACCACCAGCAGCGACTCTGGTAAGCTGGACCCCTCCAGGCCAGTTTAAGGGAGACAGGGTGTGACCGGGCATCTTTTCCTGGTCTCATGGGCAGCTAACTAAACTAGCCACTTTGTCAACCCTGCCTTTCTTTTTTTTTTTTTTTTTTTTTTTCTTATTTTGGGAAGGAGATATGGTAGATCTTGGAGCTCCAGTCTCGGTTTCCCCCCCATCCTATCCCCCTGGACCGCCCTTCGCCTTCCCCTCCCACCCCTCAGGAATTTCGTTTGAGTTTTTAAACCTTCTGGCTTATCTTGCAACTCAATCCACTCCCTCTTACCACTCTTAAGCATTTTAATTGCCCTAAGGGGGGTGTAAATGAGGATAAGAGAGAGTTGATCTCTGGGAAGGTGAATGAATTGCCTCCCTCTTCTCTTCCCTAACTTCCGAGAAATGGTTGGAATTTAATGGGCTAGGCATCTACAAAACTGCAGAGAGGCAGTGACAGGCAGGATAGCCTGAGCGCCAGGAGCTAGTGAAAGTGCCTTAAGAGTGGATGGGCTAAGGAGCTGGCCTTATTCCAGCCTGTTTTGAACACTTGAAAGCAAATCCTTGCCAAAATTGGACTTCTTTTTTTCCTTTCCCCACCCACAGGACTTTTGGCAAAGCTAAAAGATTTTTTTTTCTTTTTGCACTTCCAGTAAAATAGGGAGTTGCTAAAATCATACCAAGAGATTTGCAGCTATCATTCGCAACACCTGAAGGGTTCTTAGTAAAGTCCCCTAAAAAGAGGAGGTGCTTGGGAATGCAGTTGAATTGGGTGTGCCCAAAGCCTCATTAAGTCTTAGGTAAGAATTGGCATCAATGCCATATCCTGGTGAATTGTAATGTTCTTGCCTGTGCCATAACCCCAGCTGTCCTCCTCCCTTTGAAACTCCTCCTTTCTGGGAGGAGGAGGAGAGGAGATAGCTAGGAGATAAGAGTCCTTTCTAATCTATGAATGCTTTGTATTTATATGACACTATTTTAATCTTTACCATTGATTGGTTCAAGGAAACCTTGCTAACCCAGTGAAAATCTATTTCCTTTCTTTCTTAAAGAGGAAGAACAAGAGGATGAGGAAGAAATTGATGTCGTCTCTGTGGAAAAGAGACAGCCTTCTGCCAGAAGGTCAGAATCGGTGTCACCCCCAGCAGGAAGCCACAGCAAACCTCCTCACAGCCCACTGGTCCTGAAGAGGTGCCACGTCTCCACACACCAGCACAATTACGCAGCACCCCCCTCCACTAGGAAGGACTGTCCTGCTGCCAAGAGGGCTAAGTTGGACAGTGGCAGAGTCCTGAAACAGATCAGCAACAACCGCAAATGTGCCAGCCCCAGGTCCTCAGACACGGAGGAGAATGACAAGAGGCGGACACACAACGTCTTGGAACGCCAGAGGAGAAATGAGCTGAAACGGAGCTTTTTTGCCCTGCGTGACCAGATCCCAGAGTTGGAAAACAACGAAAAGGCCCCCAAGGTAATAATCCTTAAAAAAGCCACAGCATACATCCTGTCTCTCCAAGCAGAAGAGCAAAAGCTGATTTCAGAAAAGGACTTGTTGAGGAAGCGGCGAGAACAGTTAAAACAGAAACTTGAACAGCTGCGGAACTCTTGTGCATAAGTTGACCTGTTGGAGGGAGGAACTGGAATCTCCTAAATTCTCACTCCTTACTAAGGGAAAGCAAGGAAAAAGGTTCCTTCTGACTGAACTGCAGCAACCCATTACCATAAAATATGAACTTACTTCAAATGCATGTTCAAAGTGCAACCTCACAACCTTGGCTGGGTCTTAGGACTGTAAGGTTTAGCCATAAACTGCCTCAAATAGGACTTTGGGCATAAAAGAACTTTTTTTATGCTTGCTATCTTGTTTTTTTTGTTTGTTTGTTTTTTTCTTTAAACAGATTTGTATTTAAGAATTGTTTTTAAAAAAAAAATCTTAAAAGTTTACCAAATTTTCTTGTGTAAATATAGTATCAAATGTAAATAACTTTAATAAAACGTTTATAGCAGTTACACAAGATTTCAGAACATGTATTATAAACCATAATTTTTTTTATTTAAGTACATTTTCCTTTTTAAAGTTGATTTTTTTTCTATTGTTTTTAGAAAAAAATAAAATAACTGGCAAATATATAAGTTGTGCCAAATGTTAAGTTGTGTTTTGTTTCTTTCCTCCCACCCCCACTTATTTTCATCAATTACAAATTAACAGAACTTTACCTTAAAAGGGCAGGCTGACCAGCAATTTGGAGGCTGAGACAGGAGGATCCCAAGTTTGCAGCCAGCCTCAGCAACTTTAGCAAGAACTGTCTCAAAAAAATAAAAAGAACTGAGGATGCAGCTCAGCAGTTAAGTGCTCTCCCCAAGTTAAATTCCCAGTATCCTTTTTAAAAAAAAAAAAAAGACAGGCTTCCAAAGATGAGAAAAGTTACTCTAAGAAAAGCAAGGGTTTTTCTTTGTTAAAATGGGGCTGGGAGTCTTAAGGTCTTTTAAGTTCTCAGGGTTATAAGATGCTGCCTGGAGACGGTTGATATGAGCCAGAATGGATAGTTAGCAAAGGGCAAAAGGAGGTCAGAAGGTTAGGGGTAGGGAAAGGGGATTCAGGGGGTTCAAGGTAACACTTCAGTGTTAAGTAGACAGAGAGGGAGGACCATAAAGGAACTCCCTTGAGTTTGGTTAACTCTAGCCATTTCCCTGGTCACTTAACCAGGGACTCTACCCAAGGAGAAAGGGCAGGAGCCATCTTTTGCACCTTACCTACTGCTCCAGGTGCCAGCCCCTCCTTACATGGGCTATTTATGCCTCTGGAGTCCTGGAAGGAATGTTAGTAATAATACTACAAACAGGGAAATGTAAGAGCTTGAGGGTTATGTAACTTATCTGTGACAAAAAGCAGAATGGAGTCCGTTAAACTTTTGGCCTATCACCGTGCCTTGGCTCATCTTAACATCTGAAGTCCTCAGCTCAAGAATGCTGCTGTCTTGGGGCCTGACAGACTGACAAAGCAGTGATGTCAGTCAGTGCTAGACTCTTGTGTGCTAGGTACTCTCAAGCATTCAGCTTAGAACTCCACAGCAACCCCACCAAGGAGGGACTTGGGTTTTTTCCATGTTTCAGAGTGGGAAACAGGCACGGGACTCAATCATGTGCCCAAGGGATTGAAACCAGGCCATCTACTAAACCTGCTGCCCTAGATGGTCTCTGAACTGGCCTGTCGGTCAACAAACTAGCCATTCATGAGAACGGGTATTAGTCCAGCGGAATACCCATGTTAAGTTTCAATATTTAGATTTGGACAGGACAGCAGTTTCCTTGTTTATTTATCTTGCTTTGCTTTTTTATTTTATTTTTTTAATCTGTTTAATTTCTCTTTTCACATGGAAAAGCCTACAGCTTGCTCACCCCTACCTTAGGCATTTGTTACATCAGTTTCACTGCTGGCTTCTGGGAGGAAGCCAGTTTGGAAACGCTACTGTTCTGATCATAAAATAAAACATACTTAGCCTCTGTCATGTGAATCATTATTTTAGAAACTGCAAGCTCTCCTTCCTTCCAACCGCTTTCACACACTCATGACACATGCTCATCATTACTCCATAAGAAGGCACTTCTGAATAGATGTCTTATTAATTATAAGCTTCTGAAAACCCACGGCCCAAACCAGAAACTAGAACAGTGACTATAGAGAAAGGAAGTGCCTTTGCTGTTCTAATTACCTCATTGTCTCAGACCCAGAGAAGGTCTTCAGCTCCCTGGACTATCTTTGGAATTTTAATCCATCACCATCCATAAATCAATAAATAATCACTGTCTTTGACCTCTAGAATAAACTGTTCAAGCCCTTAATGTCTTGTTCTTGATCTTTCCTTTGGGTACTTAGTCCCAACCTCAGCTTCAAACTGCCACACCCTATAGCCTAAATTCAAAGGAAAATACAATCCACAGACGTTGAAGAGTTCAAAGTGTTAAAAAAAAAGCGGGGGCGCTCTTAAACGGTTCTCTCTTTGCCCCTTTGTGGCCCAGGGCTGGAGTGCAGTCCTGCTGTGACTCACCTGGGAACTGGAAAGGTGTTGGGTTGAATCACTGAGTCCAGGCAAGCCCGAGGACCAGGAGAGTGCTCCTCATTAGGAAAACAACTCCGCATTAAGGATGCCGAACTTGGCTGTGGGAATGGATGGGAAGGATTCCAACCTCCCATTAGGCCACCTCTCAGCTTTACCGTGGTCGGCCCCAGAATGGTCTGAAAACAGGACAGATGCCAACTTCTTTCCAGAAAATCCGGCAGATCTTGACCACAACACTTACTGTCCCTCTGAGCTAATCCAGAGAGTCCCAGGGGCCTAAGGCCATTGTGCAATCTGTTTTGTAGATAATGATCTCAATGATCAGATTTGGGATGGGAGGGAGGAGCTTGTAGTTTGTTCAGAAATACACAAGCTATAAGCTAGCCAGGCGCTGTGGCACACATCTGTGATCCCAGAGGCTCCAGAGGCTGGGGCAGGAGAGTCGCAAGTTCAAAGGCAGCCTCAGCAGTTTAGCAAAGCTCTAAGCAACTCTGTGAGACCCTGTCGCTAAATAAAATCTAAAAATAGAAAGGGGCTGGGAATATGGCTCAGTGGTTAAGCGTGCCCCCACCCCCCAATTCAATCTCTGGTATTAAAAAAAAAAAGAAGGAGGAGGAGGAATAAGTCAATACTGATTGTCTTTTTACCCAAGACACTTTGGAAACAAGGGCTCCTATAGGGGATTCCTGGGATGATTTTGTTTAAAAAGGAAGGAAGTGTTATTCTAGGCTGCCATTTGGAAACAACAAAGGAATCAACATTATAAAAACAATCAATCAAACTTTATAATGAACAAAGTTTTCACAGTCCCAGAGTAATACTTAGACTGCTCATAGCTTGGACATGTAAGTAAAGTTTTCTGCTGATTTTTAAAACAAACGAACTCTGGCACAAAACTTGGGAAAGGGGACCAAAAAATGTCACATTAAGAGTTTTTCTGTGGTTTGTTTGCTATAACCTGTGATTAGCTCAATTATTTTTTAGCATGCATGCGGAGGGCCCACTGAAGCATTTCCTCCCAACAATAATCTTTAGGCTGGAAAGTGCTGGAGGAAGTCCCTAAATCCTAACTAGGAATTCACCATGACACAGTACATAAACCTTTTCCTGCCAGGCTTGGTGGCACATGCATGTAATCCCAGCCACTCAGATCCTGGGGCAGGAAGATCACAAGTTCAAAGCCAGTCTCCGCAAATTTAGTGAAACCCTGTCTCAAAATAAAAAGGGCTAGAGATGTAGCTCAGTGGTTAAACACCCCTGGGTTCAATCCCCAGTACCAAAAGAAAAAATAAAAACTCCTCCTTTTTAAAAGATAAAACCAGGGCCAAAAATGTAGAGCATTTACTTGGCATGTTTGTGGCCCTGGATTCTGTCTTCCATACTACAAATAAATAAATTAAATACAACTGAAAAGACTATCGCTCACCACCATAGCCATAGCATTAGCCCTGGGTTGTTCTGTCTCCTGGTGGGAGTTTTGAAAAACTGAAAATTTAAAGAAAACACCCAGGGATTCAGGCTTTGCCAAACTGGCTAGAGGTGACTCTAAACTACTGTGAGTGGATTTCACTTTTAATTTTATCTCATTCAATATTAGTATATGCTGAGCACTCCAGGAAGAAGAGTGGAGGGAACAAGTGTTAATGGCATGTAAATATTCCCAGGCTGAAAGGAATGTTCTTTGTTTTTAAACAATGCCTGGGAGCTGGGCCATCACCCCAACACTTTCTTCCAATTATCGCCTCATCACCCCATTACCAGGCAAACTCTGGAGTGCACTGGGGGAGGGGAGAGTACAGAGTACACACATACTTTCTGCCTTACCCTCCTTCTTCCAGACCCCCAGAGCAGCCTAGCTCCCTAGCTAGTGATAGTTGATTGGGACAAAACCTAACATTTAGACAACTCAAATAACTGGCCAAAAGTCACAACCATAATAATAGTTAATGTTTACTGTATGCTAAACACTTTAAGTGCATAATTTTATTTCTTCCCCAACACAACTCTTAGAAGGGAAATTCTTTTTTTTTTAAGCCTAAGAATGCTTTACCACTGAGCTACATCCTCAGCCTTGTGTGTATGTGTGTGTGTGTGTGTGTGTGTGTGTGTGTGTGTGTACCAGGGATTGAACCCAAGGGTAATTAACCACTGAACCACATCCCTGCATTTTTCATTTGTTTATTTATTTGTTTTCATTCAAGCCTGATCCCATTAAGTTAGCTAGCTTTGAACTTTCCCACCTCTGGGATTACAGATGTGCATGACAGTGCCATTATGGAAAATACTATTTCTAAAGTTCATTTTACAAACGAGAAGCCTGAAACTTTGAGAGGTTAAGTAATTTGCCTGCATTCACTGAACTGACAAATAGGAAAAGTAGGAGTTATTCCTTTAATCGTAAATATGTATTAAGTTCCTTCTGTGTGCTCACACTGTCTTAGGAGTAGGAACAGATATTGAGATAAACAAGATAGAAAAGATTCTGAGCCAGGCACTTATGGACTAGTGGAGAACAAAGATAACAGGCATTTGAATATTCTCTCTCTCTCTCTCCCTTTGTGGCACTAGGAATCAAACCCAAGTCTTCATGCATGCTGGGTGCACGTTCTTCCACTGAGCTCCATCACCAGCCCAAGACTGAGTCATTTTACCAACACTAGACAATTGCTATGTAGCAGCGGGGGTTGGGGGGTTAAAGCACTGGGAGCTGGAGCCCCCACCTCCTGAGAAATGAATCAAGAACAGAGTCTAGGAAGTACTAAAAGAGGAGCCACAGGAGAAGATATCCTCAGAGGATGGAGGGAAGCTAGAGAGGAACCCACCTGGGGAGGAAGCTCCTCTGCTAGAGCCGTGTCAAAAGTGGCAAGTGTGCAGTAGGACAGCCAGGAGCTCCACTGGGCTTGGCAAGACCCAGGCTCTCCTGGGACCCACCTGTTCCCCCTACCCACA